CCCCTTGTCCTGTCCCAGCTGGCCCTACTAAAAAGCTTGTCCCCCTCTTTCCTCTGGGCCCCCTTGAAGCCCTGACCGGCCGCACTCAGCTCTGCCCGCAGCCTTCTCTTCTCCAGGCTGAACACCCCCAACTCTCCCAGCCTGGCCTCACAGGAGAGGTGTTTTTGACCACGGGAGGTACAATCAGATTACGCTAACCCCTAACCATCCCTGCGGTTACCATCACTGGGTTTTTAAAAAGCATTTCTAATCCAATGCGCACCGTTCACCAGGTGCCCACCAAAACCAAGACAAGCAACCCCTCCCACATCGGGGCACGCTGCTAGCCCGCTTTGGCCCACGCACAAGTGATTTTGCAGGCACATCTCCCCCTGCAGCCCATGCCTGCAGCCGATGCAAGATAACAGATTACCTCAACCCCCGTCTACTCCACGTTTACTGCAGGCTACAAACACGCACCTGATGAATTATAACAGAGCAGCTGATGTGTGGGAACTTGTTAGCCTGCTGTACGTTGTCTGTGTGTCTGAACATTCAGACTCTTCGCCCTTTGCTAGCAATGCTTGCTGAAAGCTGTCTTCATCTTGAGGAGGTTTGGGGGAAGTGGGGAAGGAAAACAAGATCCAGAGCCTTAACTCCTCCAATATCTCAGCGCCTCACTAATAAGCTATCGAGACGGAGTTGATCCTATCAATTTGTGCTGTGAAAGCCAAGCTTCTGTTCTCCAGTATTTAGCTACTTTGTTTTGCATAGAGCACTATCTAACCTAAAAAACTCCTGCAGAAGTCCACAAGGATTTTGTCCGACTCAGGAAAGCAGGTTACCTTGCTCCATGCTCTTTAACAAACGCGACATTCAAGAATTGCCATCAATAAGCTGTGATAACGAGTCCCTGGGATGCAGAAGGGCAACTCCTGGAACTGATTTATTCTCTTGCTTAAGCTGTCGTGATCCATGAGAGCCCTCGCTGAGAAAATCGTATGACCAGCATCCTTCGAGCCTCCCCGGAGCACAGTTTAGAACCAAGCCATCACTGCTTATACCACCCCTGACATCTTAATTTGGAAGCTGCACCCTCTTTAATTACTGCCCTGTTGGGGACCTTATAATCACCCAAGTAAAAACTCAACCAATTTAAAATGATCCCCAGTACAGCCCCCAGGTGTGATTTCCAGGAGGGCTTCAAACTCAGGCCAGTTCAAATTACAACAGCTAACCTCCTAATTAAGAAGAGTTATGGCTTGATTTAAAAAGGAGAGGGGACTAATTAACACATGTAGTGTAATGTCTTAATTGGGATTCAGATTCTAAAATTTGTGTGGTTCAGAATAAATGACTCATAATTAGTTGAGAGGTCCACTTTTCTTCTGTCCCTCGGATCTCCGCTCTCGACACAGATCTCAGAAGAGTATTAAGTTAAATACTGCATGCTGCAGTTTGTTAGCTGTCAAATGCAATCAAACCCCCTCTTTTCACCCATTAGCCCCCCATCGGAAGCGAATGATTAGGTGTTTCCAATGGGTTTAATTGCGGAGTATTGTAGCAGATTAAAAATCAGTAATATTAATACCCATTTGTTGAAGAGTGCATTAGTTTACAACGCTGTCCTATGTGCTCTGCCAAGGGGTTTGATCAGGGGAGTGGACCTTTAGATCCCCCCGGCAGCCCAACTTTGCCATTGGCATCTTCTGAAGCAGATCACTATATTCACAAGAGCTTACCCTCCCAGTAATTCTGCAGAAGTACCTGAAGCTATTTTCATAGAAGAACGGTAGTTTTACAGCCCATCACCATGTACACAGGACAGGACTGGCCAGGCTCTGGCATGCTAAACCTTGGTGCTCAGATTCAACCTCATGGGACTGAGAAGTTTGCACCAAGAGAAGGTCTCACATTAGAAATCTGCAGCAGGGCAATAATACATGTGTTTTATTGTTCCAAATTTTTAGAAGCCAAATTTTTGGCCACCAGTGGTCTGAAGTTGTGCCAGGGGAGGTTTAGGTTGGCCATGGGGAACAATTCCTTCCCCAGAGGGCTGTCAGGCACTGGAAGGGGCTGCCCAGGGAAGGGGTCGAGTCCCCAGCCCTGGGGGGATTTAACAGCCGGGCAGAGGCGGTGCTGAGGGCCAGGGTTTGGGGGTGGGATGGCAGGGGTAGGGGAACAGCTGGGCTTGATGATCATAGAATCATAGAATGTTTTGGGTTGGAAGAGACCCGTAGAGGTCATCTAGTCCAACCCAGTCTTAAAGGTCTTTTCCAACCTAAACGATTCTGTAATTCTATGAATCTATAAGTGATCCATGTTTATGCATCAACCTTTGGATGGCAAAGCACATGCATTATTGCAATATTTCCCCCCTCCTCTCTCTTTTTTCTTCTTTTTTTCTTTAAAGATTTTTTTCAACCCCCCCTAACGCCGATTCCTTCTGCAATTTGCCTTCACAACATTTACCTAGTGGATATTGAAAAGGCAGTAACGCGCCAGGGAGCTTCTGGCTTACTGATCCTAGGTAGCACTTGCTGTTAACGGATATACCTAAGAGAGCTAGACCTTGCCGATAACATTTCAATATGCATGAGTGTGCATGTACGTAGGTATACACACAGACACACGCATACTTGTACAGACAGTACATCTGCTCCGCAGAGACAGTGTGTTGTAGATCTTGTAAATACACCTTCATTCAACTTTCATCACATTGTTCATTAGTGGTTTAAATTTTGCATAATTTGGCAGCTGCCTCTGGCGTTTTTCAAGAGGTACTGTAATTTATTCCATATGGAAGTCAGTTGCTGTACTAAAAAGGAGTTATCAGGTTCAGTGAACCAGAGCTGTATTTGTCTAGAAGGAGGTGTCAGATGCTAAACTAAATATGACAGGAGTTAACCAAAGTCTCCCAGCTGACAGATTCTGTGGGGTTTCTGTAGTGTTTGGTATAAACAGGTTCAAAGCTAATACATACATCGCAAGACGCCGAGGATGCTGGCGGGGTAAGGAGAGTGCTGGAGGCTGAAGCTCTGGGTATCCCGAGGCATCCCAGGCTCCCAGGGTTCAGAACATCCCTCTGATGTGCAAGCAAACCTTGGGGTGGTTGTCCGACCCCAGATCCCAGTCCTGCTGAGAACCCCCCAGAGCCAGCACCGTATCATCTCTCTGCTCCAGAAAGCCCGTCAGGTCTCTCTGTGATCTGCAGAGGGTGTTCCTGAGGTTTTCTCACTCATTTTGGGTCATCTGGGGAATGCTGAGCTCTTCTAGCGACCAGTAGCTCTGTCTGCTGTCCTGTCCAGCCAGGCCACCGCTGTCCTCCCCCAAAAGCATCTCCTTGCTCTTGGCTGTAGCCCCAGTGCCCCCTCCAGAGGACACAGCAGATGCAAACCGAGTGAGGCTGGGGGATTTTTGTGCTTGATTGACATAATTAAAGGAGCAGTTTCAATGTTTACTCTGGGAACAGGCACAGCAGTTTAAGGTGTCACTGCTGGCAGCTGTTTCATTTAAACAAACTTCCGCGAGGATTTAGCTGGACGGAGAGATTTTGTACTTCAGAGGGGGGAGAGCACCTGTAGGAAACATCCCGCACACACTGTCAGAAGGAGAGTATCTCCAGTAAAACGCCATGAACACGAGGTCCAGGAGGGCCTCCTTCCTCACATGCATTTCTGCAGTGAAGAACATGGTTTGAGCTGAAGAAAAGGCCC